TTTCACGACAATAGTTCTCCTGTGTCTAGGTATACTTTGAGTGAAATTGTTCCTATTTGATTAATGTTTGGCTTGAATTGATGATTCAATCACAAAAGTAAGTTCAACGATTTTCCCTTGGAAAATCTCTTGTTTACAGAACTTGATTTGACCTCTACGACGATTCTGTGTTGGATACAGTACTTTGGGACATATTGTATTGTTCCCTACTGCATTGTACACAACATCGATATCTCACTTGTATAGGGTCATTCCCTTTTGTGTGGATGTAGATTGTCCGACATTGTTGCGTCCAGCATACTTGCGTCAAATCCCAACATCACGATCAAAGTCCGATCGTACGTGTCGAAAACTTCGTACTTGAATAGTTTCTTTTTGGAACGTAAAAACTCATATTTTGTCATATCCCAACAAAAGTTACCTAAAAGTTACCTGAAAGTTACCTAAAAGTTACCTGCAGTTTCTACTTTTTAAAAGTCTGTAAGTTGGAACAGAAGCATCTAAGTATTAAAGATATAAATGTTTTAAAAAAATTGCATGATTAGGTCAAACACCAGTCTTTAAATTTGGGAGTTTTGTTCAAAAATTGAGGCAGGTCAAAGAATGAGGGATTTTGTGAAGTAGGGATTCAAAGAATGACGCAGGTTGTTAAGTAGGGATCCTACACAAAGGAAGTTGTTAAGTAGGGATCCAAACATGTCCGAGGCATGAGGAGGTTGCCGTGTCCCACAAAAGACTGAGGACTAACTTAGGCACAGTAGCAATTGAAAGATTGCTAAAGAGATATTATGAGCTTAATGGAGAACTACTTCCCTGGGCAAAAGAGAAGGTGTGTACTGGATACACACAACTTCCACTGCAGTCTTGATAAGAATGTATTTGTCAGGCTGTTGCCACCTCATTGCCACTTGTAGCATAGGTAATAGATGTACTCAACATTTGGCAAGATTGCTTTTGACAAGACTACTATGGACATGCTGAGTAAGGGGGCGTTTGTAGAAGTACTCATATCAAAGTAATCGATGTTCATTCGACTGATATGATTTGACTAGTTGGACTAGTGGACTAATGGGAGCCACGACATTCTGCCACCCAAGGTTATCCTCTAGATTCCAGAGGACCCGACGCGGGAGATAGAACGGAACCTTGCAAGTAGGATGAAACCACTTCATTGTCGGTAAGGTTTGACTCGTCGTAAGGAGACGCGTTCAATTACATGAGGAGCAAGTCGTATGGTAAGGGTACCATTAGAGTGGACTCGTTCAATACAATATGGTCCATCGGCTTGAGGGTGGAGCTTGTTTGGCTTATAGCGAAGCTTTAGAACTTCCTGGCCGGGCTGATAATCATAAGCAAATCGGCGACGATTGGCTCATATCAATTCTTTGTCAATGAGCTGTTGTCGATGTTGTTGAATGAGCTGAAGGTCAGCTTGCATTGGAAGATCTAGGATCAAGTGATTCAGGCGTAGCGGTTATAGTTCCATGATAAGAGCAGCGGTGTGCATACACTGCATTTGCAATGGCAGTGTCAACTAATTGTTTGGCATCAATACTCTAAGAGAGTTGCCAATAGTTTGATGCATCCGTTTGCTAACTGCATTTGCTTGAGGATTCTTGGCAGAGATAGAACGAGGTTCAATTCCGTGTAGATTCAAATGATTTTGCAAGTCGAATCCTGTGAATTTGGTTCCTTGGTCATGGATGACGGTTGCAGGGCGCGGGTAACGGGCGAGCCAAGCGTTTTCAAACCGAAGCGTTACGTTTGCACACGTTTTGTCCTTAATGCGCACAATTTTGACCAAGTTGGTCACTAGGTCAATGATTGTCAAGGCTCTGAACTCGATCTCTTGTCCTGCCACCATGAGTGTCCAAGGACCGATGAGATCAACTGTGACTTGTTGCCAGGGGATGAGTGGAGCTTCCTTTGGAGCAGTGTGGCCGTGGCCTCTACCGACAGCCTTGTGTCGTTGACATGTGTTGCATTTTGAGGTAAAGTCTTTGATAACATTAGATAACTTTGGATTGTGAAAATGGATGCGCATGGTATCCTTGAGGCGCATGGAGCCCAGGTGGCTGAGAGCAGCATGATACCATTGGATGGTTGGTTGTAATAATTGTGTTGGGAGATAGATCTTCAATGGAGAATTACGATGTTATCAAGGGAAAGGATGAGAATGGCAATGATGTCTATCTTATTCCATGTCCTACTGGTACAACGAATGTCGAACTTCAAGCCAACTGGCACTATGCTAGTGAAGATGAAGATTTGCCTGATCTTGCTACTAAAGCAGATCAAGGTCTGCAGTTTATTCAAAGCCGCAGAAAGGAAAGAGATCCATTTGGGTTATACAATCATGTCATCATGGACAGTGGTTGTGTTGAAATTGCTCTCTTGGAGACCATTCATTGGAAACTCCTCAATAGAAGCAGTTCGACACGTCCGATCGGACACACGGACAAATGTCCGTTTTGGTCCGTTTTATTCGGGGGATTCCTATGAGTCGGTTTTGCAGGGAATCTGAAAACATGGAATTGTGGGCTTGGACTAACAAACGTCTGAGCGCCACGAAAATCCCAGACTGAATCCTGCGGGAGTTCTGTACGTGGGTTTTGTACCGGCCTTTCTGGATTGCAAACATCCAGTAAAGGTTTGGGAAATTTGAGTTTTCGTGCAAGGCTTTTGCTTTGCCCATTCCATGTAGATAACAAGTCTTTTAGAATAGTTATTTCCTGTAGAGATGATTATTTCCTATTAGGCGGATCGGAGATCGCTATGGTCGGTGCCTCTGCATGACGACTTGATGGGTCGCATATTGGCACGGCTGGTTGGCAATGATGGTTTTATGGACCACAAAGTTGTCAATCGGTTTGGACGACGACAAGCCTGTCGCTTGTCTGATGTCTGCCAGAACCGAAATCCAACTTTATCAGAGGCGGTCTTTCCTCAGCGCAAGAAGCTTGGACGAAAGAAGGAGCGGTCGCAGCGCTGGATCCAACATCAGCCGCACCGTGGAGACCTTTCCGTTTTTCTCGCCCGAGGCGGCAGCTGGAGAGATTGCTTTTTGCAATTTCAAGGCCAGTTGTCCTTGGTCGTGTGGGGGAGTGATGGAGCTCGAAGGCAAGGTGTATTGTTGCTTTGTGGAATTTCAAGGATGCTGTTTTTGGCGCGGAGTAGGAGGCCTATCTACTGTTCTTGGCCTCCCTCCATCAAGCTACAATCATCCTTTTGTTTTTCAAGTGTGCTGGGGCCTGGACATTTGGCGTCGCGACTGGAAGTTTCATGTGGAAAATCAGGAGCGCCGTGCCACAATTCGTCCCCCCCCTTTGTCCACAAGTGATCTTCAGTGGCACCGCAACCTCCATGTTTGTGGGAAAAACAGGAGCGCCAGCGCTAAGTCCTCCAAGATCACTGACTGCACACACACACATGCACCAGTCCACCATTTGATGTGCCTGTCCTTTAGCAACATGGGTGTGTACACGGGTGCAGCTCATGTGATGTTCCAGCTGAACATCCCGCTTTTGGACGTCTCTCCTACTCTGATCTTCAGAGTTAGGAGCGTGTTGAAATTGCTCTCTTGGAGACCATTCATTGGAAACTCCTTGATAGAAGCAGTTCGACACGTCCGATCGGACACACGGACAAATGTCCATTTGGTCCGTTTATTTGGGGGATTCCTATGAGTCGGTTTTGCAGGGAATCTGAAAACATGGAATTGTGGGCTTGGACTAACAAACGTCTGAGCGCCACGAAAATCCCAGACTGAATCCTGCGGGAGTTCTGTACGTGGGTTTTGTACCGGCCTTTCTGGATTGCAAACATCCAGTAAAGGTTTGGGAAATTTGAGTTTTCGTGCAAGGCTTTTGCTTTGCCCATTGTCCACAAGTGATCTTCAGTGGCACCGCCGCCTCCATGTTTGTGGGAAAAACAGGAGCGCCAGCGCTAAGTCCTCCAAGATCACTGACTGCACACACACACGCACCAGTCCACCATTTGATGTGCCTGTCCTTTAGCAACATGGGTGTGTACAAGGGTGCAGCTCATGTGATGTTCCAGCTGAACATCACGCTTTTGGACGTCTCTCCTACTCTGATCTTCGGAGTTAGGAGCGTGTTGAAGTTGCTCTCTTGGAGACCATTCATTGGAAACTCCTTGATAGAAGCAGTTCGACATGTCCGATTGGACACACGGACAAATGTCCGTTTGGTCCGTTTATTCGGGGGATTCCTATGAGTTGGTTTTTGCAGGGAATCTGAAAACATGGAATTGTGGGCTTGGACTAACAAACGTCTGAGCGCCACGAAAATCCCAGACTGAATCCTGCGGGAGTTCTGTACATGGGTTTTGTACCCGCCTTTCTGGATTGCAAACATCCAGTAAAGGTTTGGGAAATTTGAGTTTTTGCGCAAGGCTTTTGCTTTGCCCATTCCATGTAGATAACAAGTCTTTTAGAATAGTTATTTCCTGTAGAGCCCATTCCATGTAGATAACAAGTCTTTTAGGAATCCCCCGAATAAACGGACCAAACGGACATTTGTCCGTGTGTCCGATCGGACGTGTCGAACTGCTTCTATCAAGGAGTTTCCAATGAATGGTCTCCAAGAGAGCAACTTCAACAGGTTGTACAAACACCACCATTTGTCATGGTGGGCTTATGCATGGACTCCGTCATGCTGAGAAAGAACTTGACATGCACACTAACATGGGCAGCAGAGTTCTCGACGAAGAAGGTTTTCTAGGAAGATTTCCACCTCCAGTTTATCACGATGAAGATGGAATTGCCAATGTACTTGCTATGCGCGAGATGATTGCTGCGGGATCAATGCCCGAAATTTGCGGAACTTTTCCCCTTGCAAAGGTTTCGTCATATAATCCCCCCACATGTCATCAGTAGGCATGTGTTCGATCGTAAGATTTCCTTTCTCAACCTGATCAGTGACAAAGAAATAACGGATGTTCAAAGCGCGGCTTCTCTTTCCTGCACTCGATCTCCCGTTCTTTTCGAGGAGAATAGAGCTCATGTTGTCTTGATACAAGATATTCTTCTCAATCGGATAACCCTGTTCTTCCATGAACATGCGTGTCCACAACACTTGTGTGATCGCATCATCTACTCCGATTAGTTCTGCATGTGTACTGCTGCGGCTGTTTAACTTCTGTTTCTTGGACATAGCCTGCATGGCTCCACCACCCATGGTCATCACTCCTCCTGTGTGACTCTTGAAGTCAGGGTGAACCGCAAAAGACGCATCAACATACCACTTCATTACACAAAGGTTGTCAGCGCTCAGCGTGAGATGCCATTTCTTGGTAGAGTGCATGTATCTCATAAGTCTCACGAGTTTATGCCAGTCACTCTGATTTGGGTTTTGAACTCGTGATGCCAAAATTGCCACCGTCGGATGCATATCCAGACGCGCGCGTTTGGTCAAAAACAAATGTTTTGCAACAAACCGGTGAAACTCGGTCTGTTGATCTTTATCCAATAGTTTTCCTTTTCCTACCTCCAGCAAATTATTGCCAGCAGGTGTTTCCTGCTTGTCATCCACTTTAAACTTGACAGAAAACTCGTCAAGCATTCTTTGAACATAATCGTCCATTTGAATCTTCAGCTTGCCTTTCTTTGAATAATCCAATGTCATTCCCAGGTAGGTGTGAACTCGTCCACATGTGCAAGTCACTTCCTTTAGTCCTCCGTATCTCTCATTTATCCATGTAAAGAAATCCTCCAGAACTCTTTGTTCCATGTGGCTCGCTAGCACATCATCAACATGAAACCTGATAGTCAATTGCTTTTTGTTGACCATCATATTTGCAATGCACGGATCGTATACATTAAACACGAATCCGTATTCTTCTAGTGATGCCCTCAGATTTCGGTACCATAGCAACGAAGCCTGTAACATCCCATAAATAGCACGGAGGATCACAACATAGATCACTCGACGTCCATTTTCGATCACTACAAAATCCCGATAAGTGGGTCTAGGTCAATCATCTCCTTCTTCCTGCTCGGGCAGTTGGAAGTAGTATTTTTGAGGCTGGCGGACAACGTACCGACGGCGAGAATATGACCAAAATGACCAGACCAACGGTGACATGGGCAGACCGCGTTCGCGGTTTCGCAGGTGGGATTGCCAGACCAGAGTCGCTTGGTCCCGTGCATAAGAAAAAACTAGTAAATAGGTAAATCGAAGTAGCCACTGGATTGTATGAGCTGCAATGCTCATTCAATCCAGGTAACAACAAATAGATACTGGAATTAACATTCAAATAAAAGTCCTTTTATCCTTTTTAGACTAGAGGCATAGGCCTGTCTGTGTATTATAGCCCTCTCAGTAGGAGAGCCATACAGCCAGAAATTGGCCTCCAACATTACCTGGATTGAAAACAGGTTTTTGTTGACGAACCAACGGTTGGTTACCTACTCTGCCCACGGGCACAGTCAATCGTAAACAGCACTGCTCGCGGACTAACCATCCATAGGGACCTGGCTGGATCCAGTACCTTTCAGGGCGCAAGCCTAAGAGCATTACAGTGCGGCGGACGAGGCGAAGGAACAGCGCGCCGGAGCCATCCGTTTTAGTGACACTTTTATTTCGTCTTGACGTTTATTTCTCTCATCAGACAAACCCGTCGGAATATGACTGCCGCTCAGACTTCCACAGCTGGCACGAGCGGAGGCAATGATCAGCCCAGGCGTGGAGCCGCGAACAATGCGGGCAGAAACGACAATAAGAAGAGAAAGGAGATTTTCAAGGGAGATATTGAAGAGATGGGTGGTGCGGTGCTCCAGTTCCCAGAAAAAAGGAATCGAGGATCCGCCGCCCAATATGAACGATTTTACATGGCGTTGAAGGACTATATTGGCCGGGAGGTTTCAGTGGGTGCTGCCAAATTATGGGCCAAGACCTACGTGAAGGAGATGGACCCTTCTTGGGAACCTCCAGTCCCCATCGAGCCTACAACCAACAAGAATGATGTGAAGGCTTTGCTACTCTACGAATCTGAAAAAGCAGCCTACGTCAAACACATTGGAGCTACTTGGCCCGCTGCCAAGCTGGAGATCTGGAGCACCATCATGGCCCAGTGCTCTCCCAAGCTACGTGCCCACCTACAGCAGTTGCCTTTCTACGACAAGGCCGAAAGCACCCACGATTGCATCGCGCTACTTGAAAATGCGAATGTTCTATGTGGAGGAGGCAACCTACTGGCCTTCCAGCCCCAAGCAAGAGCGGAGGCACTCCTAGACCTAGTGCAATACAAGCAACTCAACGGCACACTGGACGACTACTACAACGATTTCAAGGCACGGTACGCCACGTTCAGCAGTCTTGGAGGAGATCTGACAACGAAAGAGGACACCTGGACGACTGCGAACGGCACGACGGCATCAACCAACCAAGCATTGTTAGTGTGTCTGTTCTTGGCCAATGCCGACAGGAAGCGATTCGGAGATTGTGTGACGGATCTGCGAAACGACGCGTCGTCGAAACTAGTTCGCTATCCCGAAACACTTGCGGACGCATACACGATGCTTGGAGAATACGTTCGGAAGCACAAGAAAAATAGTAATAACAACAATAGCAATGAATTGAATGCCTATTTGGAAATAGACCATAGTCGTCCGGAGAACGAAATTTGTTTGACCAGTACGAAATATGAGTGGTTGATCGACTTGGCATGGATCCTACTGGATACGGCGAGCACCGTTACGATTTTCTGCAATGCTCTCTACCTACGAGGAATGCGACAAGCACGACAACCGACGACTATTCATACATCTGGAGGAACGATCACAGCAACATTGGAAGGATACTTGCCTTTCCTTCGAAAATGGGTTGCATTTCATCCAGATTGCCTCGCAAACATCATTTCGTTCCGGGACCTCCTTGATGCGCACCATGTGACATTGAACTCTCGTCAGTCACGTAGCTTTACGGTGCATTGCCTACGCAATGGTACTGGTCGAACGCGCAGAAAGGTGCATTTCCGCCCCTCCGGGACCGGACTATTCTATTTCGATCCAGAAGGCGACTTAAGTGAGACTTTTAAGCGTTTCCCCGAGAGCGTGAAGCGTTTGTCGAGCATCGAACGCTCGACACACGAACGCTCGACGCACGAAATACTTAATGCCACGGTAGCTGAGAATCTAAAAGCTTTTTCTGCACGTCAACAAATGCGAATTGCGAAGGCTCGCGAGGTCTATGCTGATGTAGGGCGACCATCCTTTGCGAACTTCCTACGCATGCTCAAGTATCGTCAGATACCGGACGTGCCAATAACAGAAGAAGATGCGGAGAACATGATCCGCGGATATGGGCCTGACGTCCATGTACTACGTGGGAAAACTGTTCGCAGACGACCCAGCGCCGTTCCATCCGGGAGGCGAATTTCGCCACCGGACTCCATACTTAGAGCTAATAGCCAGGTCATTATGTGTGCCGATATCTTCTTCGTCGATAGCATCCCGTTCTTATTGGCCGTATCGCGGAATCTACGTCACGTGTTCGTTGACGTTCTG